CTACTAGGGACCAAAAGCTACTAGGAACAAAGGGCATCGCTACTAGGTCCAAACTTCGTTCACAGTCTTCTGGCTTCTCATTTGGGAGCCCGAGCAAAGCAGGTCTTCCCGACCAGGCCATCACCGAGCAGCAGCAGCTTGAACTGAGGGGAAGCTACTAGTAGTAATGCCCTAGCTACTAGTAGCGTTCTTGCTACTATATTTTGCAAATGAGTCTGAAACGCTACATGTCTCTATGCGCTTCTGTATATGTATCTTCTCTATACGCTTCTTTTCTCCTTTTCGCTTGGTCTTTGTCCCGTTCTTCCCTTCTTCCTCTTTTGCTTTACAGACTTCAATTGTGATGCATCTCAAAAGCATTGTGCCTCAGGGCCGCCAATGTAGAACTGCTGTGGAGCCTTTGCATGTAAACAAAGGGCAGCACGAGGTGAAGCTTTGGAAATTGTCATGTTTGTAGCCCGAGAGACAGCAAAAAGATAAAACGTTTTGGATCCAAAACCACAGAGCAAATTCTCCAACCTGAGGTGCTCTGGGTACTGGCCTCAAATTGTGAACACAACCGCCCAGAGGATCCAAATTGTGCAGCCTGTATGGTCGGTAATAAACTGACCTTTTGCACAAGAAGAATATGCCAAAGAGACATGTAAGCACATATGTTTCAGAGTATTAGGACGCTATTAGGTGGAGGCCATCGCAAGTAGGTTGGAGGCCATCGCTACTAGTGGCAAGAAGCTAGTAGTAACAGAAAAAGAAAAGAAAAGCCTCACATCCAAATCTGAGACTAGTAACAAGAAGCTACTAGGAACAAAGGGCATCTCAGTAGGAACAAGAAACTACTAGGGTGGAGGCCATCGCTAGTAACAAGAAGCTACCGAGAGGGCGGCTGGGCAGCTTTTGGGCGCTTTGGGGGGCGGCTGGTTGCCCTCGTCCGCCGGCCTCTGAGGGGAAAGCCAGTTGAGCAAGAGATCGGCCAGAGCTTCTTTGTTCCTAGTAGTCCTTGCTCCTAGTAGTACGGCCAGGAGCCCCTAGTAGCTTCTTGTTCCTAGTAGCGATGCTCTTTGTTTCTAGTAGCTTCTTGTTCCTAGAAGTAAGGCCAGGAGCCACTAGTAGCTTCTTGCTCGCACAGAGAAAGCCTTCTTTTCAGTTATCATTTCTGCAAGCGTCTTGCGCAAAGTAGTGTCAGTGTCGTTCAGAAAGCATTCTTCTAGAGAAAAGATGAAGCAAGTAGATAGGTCCAAGACCTAAGGGGATATATTTTAGTTCCTTTCTTTTGCGTTTCTTGTCCTGTCCTTTCTGCTCCTTTCTCCTTTGTGAATCAATAATTGGTTGCCATATTTCATCGACTACCACTTAGCATCTGCTTCGGTGGATCAGCAACTTGTGTGGTACCATCACCTTTATAGGAAAAGTAGAGCTGCATTTCTTGCGATAAGATCCATCGGTTTATCCATTTCGGACCATGAATCCTCCTCTTCTGAAGTTGAATTGCCGCAAGGGTCAATCGTTGGGCCATACGACAGCCAAACAGTTGCTTGGTACAAGTGGCCTCTTTGTTCTTTGTGGGCACTGGACGTAAGCTTGAGTCATGTAAGATTCCCATGATCTTTCGAATTGAATGCATGCTTTTCACCCTCTTTTGTTGTTCTCATGATTCTCATGTGTGTTTCCACGTGTCCCTCGTAGATTGCCACAAAAGTGCTAGCAATGGATAGTAAAGCATTTGGAGGTAGCCAAGCTCTAAGATGCAAGGAGCAGAACGAACTTCATGGTTCAACTGGTGAGTCACTGCCCCAAGCAAACTAACATTCAATCAGACTCGTTTGTCTTAAGGTCATTGAATGATATGTTCAAGCACTGCCCTACAAATTCCAGCTGGATAAAAAAGCGCAAGAAAACTGCTTACATACTACTAGGAGCAAGGACGCCACTAGGGGCTCCTGGCATCGCTACTAGGAACAAAAAGCGCCACTAGAAACCAAATCATAAGTGTGAGCGCTTCTTCAAGGGAGCTCCCCCCAAGGCGGGGAGAGCTTCCTTGAAGAAGCATGAGCTATCCTGTCGAGTAGGTAGTAGCTTACTAGTAGGGTAGTAGCTACCTAGCTCTAGCTACCCTGCCCCCTACCTACCTCGGCCTACCCCACCGGCTTGTCGAAAAAAAAGAGATCACCTCTTGGAGCCCGAGATAAAGCCCCACAGCCGTGAAAGCATGGCGTCGAGGAAAGGGAACGAAGTTTCAACCTTTGTAGCTACAACGGTCAACAAGATTCAACGTTACTAGGAGCAAGGACGCTACTAGGGTCAACAAGTAATAAATTTAGAAACGTCGGAAACTCTTTCACTCATTCTTTCAAGAAAAAGAAAGTCATCAGGTTTGATTGTGAGCATTTCAAACACCCCTTGCCAACAAGAACGCTGTCTCTGCAGACCATCAAAACCCGACGTCAAATCCTCGTCTTCCCTATTGGCTTCTCATCCATGATATAAAGAAAAAACAGTTCATCAATTGAATAATTAAGAAAATGAGATGATTCTTGCTGTAAATTGATATTCTGGGATGAGTAGCATGTGTTGCTCTATTGTCATTCAAAGCTGCACTACGAGCCAACTGCGGCTCCAAGAGTCACAAGTTTCGCTCGAAGAATCCGTGCGATTCCGCAAACGAACTCATCTAGAAATAGCAATAGCAATGGCCTCCAACCACTAAAGCTCACTGCTCAAGTGTCCCTAATCTAGGAACCAAATCATTACGAGCGCTTCTGCAAGGAAGTGTGGGCTATTCAGTGTCCAGTAGCTAGGAGCTTCTCAGTATGGAGTTCGCAAGTTTGCCCTCAACTAAGTAATAAAGTTTTTTTAGTAAGAAGCTTTTTTGACCTCTGGTGAAACGATTCCAGGAGGCAGGGCACCTCCGAGCTGGAGCGGAGCAAATGTGCCACAGCCCTGAAGGTGGATGCGGCCACGACCTGCCATGACCGAATCGGTTCAGCCTCGATCTCACGACCTCAAAATGCCTCCACCTAATAGCGAACCTTGTTACTAGTAGCTACTTGCTCCTAATAGTACGGCCAGGAGCCCCTAGTAGCGTCCTTGCTCCTAGTAGCTATGCCAGGAGCCTCTAGTAGTTTCTAGTTACTAGAAAGCTTCAAAGACCTTAAAAGCTTCCTTGTTACTAGTAGCGATGGCCGCCAACCTGATAGTTTCTAGTTTCCAACTTGAATCTGCTTGTACTTCAAGTTTTTGAAGGCGTCACCAACGCATGCTTAACGGCTAATCTGCACATCTTGCCTGTCGTGCAGACTCTGCTGCTGCCAGATGGGACTGAGTCGTTCACTGGGACTGGAGGCTTGCAGTCTGTTATCTCGCCTAAAAATAATAGAGCAATTGACATCGATGGCCTCCAACCTAATAGCGATGGCCTCCAAGGCAATAGAGCAATTGACTTGCAATAGAGGTAGTTAGGAAGCATTCAGATGTCTTTATAAGGAGTCGTGTCGGCTGTCTCGTCTCGTCCCTCCGCGTAGCAAACTCTCTTTCGTGCGACGTGGCCAAAGCCACAGACCAGATCAGTGAAGCAGCTGGAGAGCTCCAGAAAGGGCCTGCAAAATGAGTATTTAAAACAGAACTTATGAACACAGACCGAAAAGGTTCAGACACATTTTGATTTGGGATTAAGATAGGTGCAAGTGAGCTGCAAATGCAAACAAAACTCCATTGGCTGCCACACGTCTGCTGATTGTCCAAAACACCCACAAACTCCATTAAGTTTGCTTTGACACACGAATCCAACGGAATGCATGGCTGTCCACAAGAGACATGAAAGCAGTGTAAGCGGTCAAAACAATGACCACTTCAAAAAAACATCCAACACACACTCTCAATTCTAAGGTTACGGTAGCCGCTTGGAACAACAATTGACAATTAAGTTTACAAGTTTTGATATCTTATGACTGGGTGCAAAACACACGATGAGTTTGATCTTGTCGAGACTATTCAGTTTTAGATCGCGGCCTTGGCAGTCGTGGACAACCTATTTCGCCCATGTTTTTGGGAATTTGCAGATTGAAATGGATGGAGGCAACACATACACATTGGAGCTGTTCGTGTTGCGAAGCTGTCAAAGTATTGTTTTGTATGGCAAAACGCATTGCAAAATCGATTGTTTGAATCGACACATGGGGCTCAAGTTGCAGTATCATTTTCATCAGTTCGTGTGTACTTCCAAGTGGTTTGTGTTGCTGACTGACATGCAACATGTTGCATGTGCTTGGTGTCTTGTCATCGCTTCAAAACGGCACATTTGGAGTGGAAACAAAACAGGTCAGCAAATAAAACAGGTGGAAACCACAAACAAAAAGCACCTCATGTAGTGACTAGTGCATCGCTGCATCCTTACTTGGAACTAGAAGCTACTTCGAACAAGTGCATCGCTACTAGTAATTGTTCGTTGCTAGTAGCAATGCCCTTGTTACTAGTAGCGATGCACTTGCTACTTGTACCCAAAAACCACCCCTTGCCAAGAAAACAGTTTCACTGCCCTTTGCAACAAAATGCCCTTGCGTTATCGATTGCCCATTATAGAGTTCAATTCGATGGATGCGCTGACACGGTGTTCCTCGAACAAGCATTTTGGGATGGCCTGCAAACAACATTCACAGTCAATAATCCGCCCTCAACACAAAGCACCAAAACCAAACAAACTTGCAAGCACGAGCGAGTTGGCCATCCAACAAATGGATTTTTTCACCCTTCTTCGACACTTCGCTCGCAACATCATCAAGTGTCAACAAACACAAGCACTTCGAGCACAAGTCTTTGGACAACCATGCCTGAACAACACGGATTCAAATGAACCTTGCTCCTTCTGACAAAGCACCAATGAACTTGGCGTGGGACAGGTGAGATCGGAGAAACAGGAACTGTGAATTTGCAGGCCACTCTCAGCGCATGAAATCGAACAGAAAAGTTCAATTCTCTAATTTTACCCCTGCATTGCCCACAAAAGGGTGAGTCAAGTTGGAATGACCACTTCTTTCTCTAAAATTTGACCCTGCGTTGCCAATACAAAGGGGTGAGTCAAGTTGAAATGGCAACGTCCTTCTCTAAATTTTACCCCTGCATTGCCGACAAAAGGGTTTGTCAACTTGGAATGGCAACATCCTTCTCTAAACTTTCCCCTCGGGTGGCTCACCAAAGGGTGAGTCAACTTGGAAGGGCCACTTCCGTCTCTAAATTTTACCCCTGCGTTTCCCACATACAGGGGTGAGTCAAGTTGGAATGGCCACTTCCTTCTCTAAATTTTACCCTCGGGTTGCTCACCAAAGGGTGGGTCAACTTGGAAGGTCTCAAATCAAAGAGCGCGGCCTTTTGACTTCTTTCGAGCCACTGCGGAGTCATGTACACACATCGTTTTGTGCGCGTCATCCTTGCTATGAGTGTCCATGCTAATCATCGACACCCCGCCTTGAGCATGCCTGGCATTTTCCTTCAGGCTTGCTCACATCTTCAGTCTCTACATTTCGTGAAACATGCCATCTTGTGGTTCTTCATCAACCATCATGGCTTTCATCTCCAGCTTCGTCTTCTGAGGTTTGGATCAACCTTCCAGCGCTGTCCCTTGGTCTTGGACTGATGATCCGAAGCGCCGTTGATCCTGGTGCTGGATTGTAGTCAAGGGGTTCTTCGTCCGAGTCAGGCAGTAGAAGATGATCTCTTGTCCACTGCTCATAGTCGCTGCACTCAGATCCCCTTGAGCCTGCTCTTGACTGCACTTCACAGTCTTCTTCTTCTTCACCTTCTTCTTCATTGTCTTCATCATCCACTGCAACTTCCTCTTCTTCTGCGTCATCTCGTGTGACTTCTGCTTCATCTCCTGTCATGAATGCTTCGTCCTGCTCATTTCCCATGTCATCTTGACCAACTTCTGTGAGATCTTCTGGCATGAAGAACGTGTCGGATTTTCCGCTTTCTTCCCACTTCATGAAGGCTATGGCTGCACTCATGTAGCCCTGTGGTTCTGGTCTCAGACATAGTAGAGCTAAGTCCTGCAAGCGGTTGTGCGCACTCCTCATCTTCTTGAAATCTCTGTGCTAGAAGGGATTGCGCATGGCTTCTGGGCAGGTCTATCTCTAGCCCGAAATTCATTCATCGAAGATCACTTCTCCAGGCATGGAAATTTGTCATGTCTGCCAGAATGCCTGGCAGATCCCACTTTTGCATCACAAACTCTGATCCAGGAAGCATGATGTCTCCTGGTCCATCACTTGATGTTGCAGCTTGTTGTCTAAGTTCTCGACCTTGTGCCAGCAACTCTGCCACAACTAAATCTGAAACACTCACTGATCCTCTTTGTCTTGTTCTCCTCTCATTCGGTTCTTCTTCCTCCTCTTCTGCTTCCTCATCAACGTGGAGCTCCTCATCTTCGTTGTTATCTGGAGGAGTCATTGTATGTTCATTCTCACTTTTCACATGCCTTTCAGGCATTGGCTCTTCTTCAACATCTTCATTCACCTGGTTTGTCTCTTCACGCACATACCTGTTTCGCCATCTCCTTCTCCAGGAACTTCCCTTGCTGCACTGCTCTCTGCTGTTCTGCTTCCAGCTCGTCCTCTGTTGCGCAAGCCTTTCCCAGATCCATAGTCACACCATGATCTGTCATCACTTGGATTCCAGAACCAGCTTTTCACTGTCAACTGACCTCTTGGTGATTCGGCTCTTGAACCGGATGCTGGAACTGCATAGTATCCACCTTCTGCCGTTCCCAGGGTCTATGGCGAGGTCAACCTCAAAGCCGCGTGGCCGAAGCTGCGCTTGCGGGGCAAGCTGGTTGGTGGAGTCACTGGTGGTTCCGATTTCCATCAAGGAGCAGCATGCTTCGAAAACCCTAATCCCGAACTTGCACCCTGGACTGGAGCAAGAACGGTTCGGAGTGCAAAACTTCGGCAAAAAACTCCATTCTGCAGGCAGCTACTGTGCTTGGGAGGTGAACCACCTGAAGTCGCAAACAACTCCGCCAAGCGGCCTCACCAATGATGCGAACACCTGCTTTCACGTGCACGTGCCTGACTTCCATGCTAGGGAGCTGCAAATTCCCCATCCAAATCAGTCTATCATGGGCGTGAGCCTGAAAGCACAGCCTTGAATCAAAAGCCTCTCGCCAGTGCGCTGCAAGCTTATAGTGACCTATCGAAAGTCGATTTGGAGCTGCCTGAAGATCTCTAAATGTTTTTTCCACGAGCGCAGACGCCATGTGGGCGGTGT